GAGGAACTTGATTTAAATCATATCAAAGACGGAGTACATCGAAATGAAATACTACACTTAGTACGGAATTATAAACCAAATAAAATAAAAAACATCTGCCCTGAAGATAAGGATAGTGCTGACAGATCAACTTCCAATCCGCGGCGTGAAATTGATAAACAGATTTTGGATTTCAAAACATACTTTCGCTTTGTAGATATAACAATTACCTATTAGTAAATATATATCGGAAATTCTATTTGACATAATCTTTCTAATCTATCATAATCTAATAATGACTTTCTGTTTCTGCCCCCCCCTCTGCCGCAGAGCAGCGTGAAATTGATAAACAGATTTCGGATTTCAAAACATACTTTCGCTTTGTAGTAAATATATATCGGAAATTCTATTTGACATAATCGAAAGTTCAAGCTTACTTTTATATTGCTCTAACAGTCTGCAAAAAATAATAAGCCGGATCCATTTCGAAGATTAAGGAACAACGCAATCTGCAACATTAACTGAATTAGATAACTTTAGCTTAGCGTATAACTCCGTTACACATTAAACGCGCATGCGCACAAACATATTCGCAGCCGTAAGGGTCTTACGCGCTCTCGTAAACGCCTGTGCGCATGCGCAGAAAGTTTGTAGCTTTGAGGTCCGGATTATAGATCATTCCGGATTATGGGTGTCCGAATTAATAACTTTTGACTGTATTTTTCATTTTTGAATTTTAAAAAAATAAAGATTAAAATTTGGGACCTGCTTTCTATGTAACAGCAAGTAGTAAAATTATTTTCAAAGTTATGGAATCCTGTCATTGATAAAAGTGTGTATTAATGTCAAGGACACTGCCAGCTGCATATAGTCAACAAAGTGGTTACAGATTAGAATAATTACATTTGGGAAGTTTGCCCTTATTCTAATAAGAGCTTCCTGTAAAATCGGAGAGTCTAACAAAACAGTAGAAACTGATTTCTGCAATTCAGGAAAAGGCCTGCAGAAATCAGCGAGTTAAACACTGCTTTTTTATTAAACAAACAGGCATCAATTACTTCAGAATTCCCAGAAATGACTGAAGCAACTTTGGAAAGAACTCTGCCAGCTTTCATGAACCAATTTGTACAGTCAATGAGATAATACATCCATATCAAGAATGGCTCTGTCTTATTGTCTTCATCAAATAACAGTTCCACTGTTCAATCAATTCATATCAGAGTGCTGCAAACACTGAAATGCATATATAAAATAGCATTTTCAAAATATATGCTAAAATTTCTAAACAGTAACAAGATCCTTTGAAATTTTTTAAAATACTTTAACATAAAGAGCATTGCAAAGTTATGAGAGGAAATACTCAAAAAATATTTTTTTTACAAAAATGCTTGGCATATTTATAGATAGCAACCATTTTTTGTTGTGGTGATATGATGATAGTGTAGAACAGGGATGGCCAAACTTCAGGACGATGGGAGCCGCATGCATGATAGGTTTAATGAGCAATCGAGAGTTGCAAGTTCAAATTTATATAATTTCAAAACTAATGAGATAGGCTTTGAATATAAAGAAACTTTTGAAATAGATTAATAAATATGTGATTAACATGATTACATATACAGTACAAAGTATGTAATCCGGACGTCCATTATTCAGAATGACCTATAATCCGGACCTCAAAGCCACAAACTTTTTTTTTTTTTTTTTTTTTTTTTTTGGTATGCTTTACGCATGCGCGTTTAATGTTTAAGCAATCACGCTTAGCACCAAAAAAATAAAAAAAAAAACGAAGCAACTTACATTGAAAGAAATGTTTAATAAAGTAAGCAAATAAATATTAAGCTTCTTTTTTTTTGTAAATTTTGATATCCTTTAGATCATAATTGCTCTTTATTTCATAAATTACGGTTTCATATTTTTAATTGTATAATTTCTGCATGCCATCTTACCAGATTTATATTGATGATCAATAATCCGGAATCGCCGAAGTCCCGACAAGTCCGGATTACGTACTTTGTACTGTAAATACATATAAATACATCTTATATCTACTGTTTTGTGTTAGAAAAATTTAAGTCATTACAAAATAAAAATGTGTAACTCTTTTGTACTCAAGAACAGAGCTTTTTTCTTTAGGTACAGAACCTAAATATTTTCTTCTGATTTCCTTTATACCTCTCTGTTACTGTTGTTTTATTTAGTACTGAATAGGAAGCATATTCATTGGTCTACAGTTACATAAAAAAATGCTATTTGAGTAAATTATAATGACTCATGAATAGTCTTTTAGAAAGGAAAAATTAAATTATACACGTCAATGCACACTGCAGAGAAACTGTTATTCGTGAAAGAATATTTATTTAAAAATAAGCTATTAACTTGTTTAGGCTTTTGCTTAAAAAGTAATTTTGTTTCTCCACACAATTAACATAAGGACCAACATACTGAGATCATTTGAATCTTTGGATCCTAACCTAAGAAATCAAAAATTTTCCCCAAAAAACTTTGGAATAACTATTTTTACTGATGCTCAGTATAAAAAAAAAAAAAAAAAAAAAAAAAAAAAAAAGAAGAAGAAGAAGAAGAAGAAAGAAAGAGACAGAGAAGATTGCAATTTTAGTGGTATTTGAATAATCAGTATCTCTCATGGCAGCCCTAACTTTTGCAATATTTCAACGTGGCATCCAACGGAATCTGCCAGAATGTTTTAGTAATGAGTACACTGCGAATCCCTGAAAATTCTTGAAATGTCCCGATAATTTTGGACATAGATAATGAAGTTCAGGTGCATCATTGAAAATTTTCAAAACTATCTCTAGAATCGACCTGATAATTCTGGACACAGATAACAAAGTTCATACATATCATTGAAAATTCTTGAAGCTATCTCCTGAACTGTCCTGATAATTTTGGACATAGATAACGAAGTTCATGTGCGTAATTGAAAATTCTTGAAACTACCACTAGAACTGTTACGATAATTCTGGACATGTATAACCTATTGCTAATATCGGGCTACATAAATGCTTTGTCGAGCACATATTCCATCCGTTTACTAGCTGAACTCTTCAACCTAGCTGTTTAATTTTGAGTTGTTTTTCAGATACACGGTAAATCAAAACTAATGTTATAGAAAGAAAACATACCTCTCACTACTATAATGAATTTATTTTGCGAATGCAGATATAACATGAACTCGCAACTCTTCGCATTTCTATGGATATACACAGATGTTTGATGTAGAAGCCTTTTGTAATACGGCAGACATCTGCACAAAAGTTTAATTCCTAAGCTTTTGCCAAATAAGTAACGCTTCCACCATTATCTAGCGGCTGGGCCCATATAGGTGGGCGAATGATTTACTGTCTTGTTTCGAATTTCTAAATAAATAACTCAGGTACAATTCACATGTGCAACATTTCATTGGGTTACTTTACCAGTGTACAGAAAATAAATCTTTCATGAAGTTTGAAATGGAGTCTGTAGGCAAAGGATATTTTAGAAAATAAAAGATCAGACTTTAAAAATACACATTTACAGGAGAAAACTTTCCCATTATTGCCTTAAATTTGTATTGATCAAACAGTGGATCATTGTACAACTTTTCTTTTGGCTACTCAGCTTTCATGAAGGGTGTGTGTCAAACATACATGATGATCAAAAATTAGAATGACAAAAAATAACAAATTAAAAGACGTGTAATGCTGGCAGCACAGCCAGAGCAACCAGTGTAGTTCTAGAGCATCAGTACTAAGGAGTGAAAATTTTAAATATGATGGGCAGCAAAATGCCTCTTACTTAGTACGAGGTAGAAAGGAAGAAGGTCATCATACAAGAAATCGAAAAATACAAAAAAATATCACAAGCTAAAGAAATTTCACCAATATCAATATGCCAATTTTGAAGAAAAGAAAGTTAGGAGAAGAGAGACATTTGTGTTCTGTTGATCCCTCATTACTTGATACAACATTACTGATATGAAGATTTCAGTATTGATTGATCCTAGTTGGCCTCCAGAAGGGTGTCAGCCATAAACAGTAGTTCTTTTTTCCCATTTCAACAGATGTTCATTCTTTCAAGTAGCTGAAAATGAACCACAATTCAGTCACAAATGTGATTATACAGGCTTCAAACTCATCTTTTTCACAAGGAAAGAAGAAAAAAAAAAAAAGCAACAACAGATGATTTACATCCTTGTTTATAAAAACAAAATATGGCTATCAAGAATCAATCGGGGTTAAATCAAATGAAAGCAAAGATGTTAGAAGTGTGTTAAGACAATCACCCTTACCTGTAATTGTTGCTAATCATGCTCCTTGAGATAGTTTCATGGTCGACAGAATAATAAGTAAATTACAAAGTGTCTAATAAAACAAATAAATATTGAGCTTTTTTGTAACTTTTGATTTTGTTAAGGTCATAAACATTCTATTATTTCATGCACAAGTAATTTCACATTTTTAGTTTTATAACTTCTATGTGTCATCTTGCTAGACTGAAGCTGATAATCTAAAATCCGGAATCGCTAAAGTCCTGACAATGCCGGACCTCAGACTTTGTACTGTATACTAACATAGCTATGCATTATGATGCATATCACACATTGTCATGATTTTTAAATTATAATATTAATTTCTGAAAGACAATTACCCTTCTAAACAGAAGAGGCAGCAATAAATAAATTATTAAGAGATGTAGATAAGAGCCATTGGATGATGAAATTATATCAGATGCAAGATATGCAAAACAAGAATGCGAACTTTTTATTTGCTTTTTTCTTAGAGGAACAATTTTTGCTTAGTATTGTTTTTTTCTTTGTGAATGTTTTACTGTTACAATATTTTTTTACTGTTAAAGAGGATTGATATATACATTTTTCTTTTTATTATTTTACTGATTACCTGAAAAGAAGTTCCTATTTCCCAATTTAAAAAAAAAAAGTTTCTAGGTGAACGAAAACTTCCAAGATGTAAAATTGGGTTACTAATAAGAAAGTATTAAATTGCTAAATATATACATACCATTGCATTTCTATCTCTAGGTTCCTTCCAGAAGTTTCGCCTTTCCCCATGATAATATTCTCGCCTAGAATTATCCACATCATTTCTTATTTGATTGTTAGCCATATGCTGGGGCCGAGAAACAGAATTGTGTCCATTTTCCCATCTGTGATAACTGTTACTAAACTGAGAATTCACTGGAAGAGGATCAACCGACTGGGCAGAATAACCACTTGTTGAAGGACGATCACTAAGTATAATATGAGAAGGGGCATCTCCAAGTAAACCAACTGAATGCTTTCCTTTTAAATCATTAAATGAAGTACTTCCATGTAGATTATGTGAAAGATTACTGCCATGTAATGACTGCTGCATTTGGTTACTGGCAAGCTGTAAAGCAGCATTCTGATAAATATTTGTATTAGAAGGATAATTATAAGGCTGACTGTACAGTGGTATACATGTTTCCCCACTACTGTTCAATGATCGATCTAATTCAATTCTTTGTAAAACACCTGGCTGGTTCCACGAGTTCTGAAATATATGCTCTGGATTCAGCCATGGTTCTATATCAGTTGCAGATCGATTTTGCTGATGTTCTTGTTTATCCGATCGAGCTTTCCTTCCATGAATATGTGATCCACGAGTCCATGATTTTTTTTGGTTATGCCTGCGTCGTCTTGATGATGCCATATGTTTATTTTGAGTGTACATTTTTTTCCCATTTACCTTGGCTTTTACTTTCTTTCTTTCTTTATAAAAACCAGGAAACAGTTTTGCAGTATATTTATCAGCAGGCCATTCATCACCTGCTGTATCACGTTTTAAAGAAGAAAGTTGATATACACTTTCACCACGTTTTCGGAATTTATCCGGAACTTTAACAATAACTAATTTGCAAGGATTTGGACCTGAACTAGTTATACGAGGTAGATTACCATCCTCAGGTATTTTCATTCTTCAGATACCTAAAAAAAAAAAAAATTAAGAAATTAAAGAAACATTCTAGAAGATTATTCTTTTCTCTTGTTTAAATAATGAACTTTATATTATGGTCCATCAATTAACAAAAAGTATTACATGTGAAAATACAATATTACATGATATAAAAGTGTCTTTTATTTTCCTTCCCTGAATAAAGGATTATGTTTAAAAATACTAGAATTTAAACCATATTCTCTTAATATTAAATATCTAATAGCTATTGCAGATATGACGATCAGGAAAAGATTACTTTCAAACTTAGACTGTTATCACACACGCTGTTTGTTGCTGGAACATGACATCGAAAGAAATAGCCCTCAGAACTGCCGTTCCGCGAAACGGGCTACCATCTTTACTTGGTAAACAGACTTGAAAGACAAACAGGAATCAGCTATCGCTCAGATTGGTGAAAGAGATGTTTGCTTTCGGATTCAGTGTATATAAAAAATTTTGTAATTATTTTAATACTCTTGGCTCAATACCTTGGCAAAATGACATGTGCTTATTACATTATTTGTTACTTTTAAATTATATATTTTTTACTCCAATTCTTGTAATGATCTGTTGTATATATTTTTGTAAATACGTTTAACATCGTACATTCAGTGGTTTGTCATTATTTCTCATTTTATTATTGTAAACAATATTTTTTATATCCATTATATTTAACAACTTTTATGTACACAATATAATGTCATTTACTGATATATGTTTTGTGACAAGTGAAAAATACTTATTTCATCCCTAAAATGTTGAATATTTTGTAAAGGCTACTTGTTCAGTTTCTTTGTTTAAATTCCCAAGTAAATTACAAATGTAAACATTGTGTGTTAAGTGGGTGGATTTTGATGACTAGCCTAATGCACAAAATTCACTTCAATTATTTTTCAACTGTGTATTCCATACCCATGATAATGTGCAAAGAACTGATGACTACACTTCCTGCCAATTACATAATCATTATATGAATTAGAAGTAATTTCAAATATATATCTAATAAATCATATATTTACATACACATAGAGAGGGAGAGAGATGCAATGGTTTAGAAGTTGTTGATGTATGTTTATTAGTATTAATGTAATGAATAAGATTTATTTTAATGAATGCATATACAAATGTTTTCCATCCTTCCAATAATTCATATTCTTAAATTCCAATGTTTCATATGTAGCATTTATAATAAAAATATAGTTCGTTATAGATTTTTCTTATAATCTGAAAGGCCATTTCATAAGCAACATACAAATGCTTTCAATGTGTACCCTCATTATACATAATTCTATGTTTTAATCTGTACAAATCGCTTGATTACCTTTCAATGTAAAAGTAATAAATTAGCAGAAAACATATACAAAAATATTTTAAAAAATTGGTAAAAGCTCAGAATAAGCTGCATAAAAAAGTTGAGAAGGCGACGTTCATGTGAGTGGAACTAAGCTTGTGACGTCACAATGTATTCTCGCATTTACGCTACTTGTACTTTCTATTTTTGCCTAAAAATAAGAATAATGAATTGTTTATTATTGTAAATTAACATAAAATTCTTTACTTTAAATTTACATTTTTAACAATTAAGCTTAGGCATTATTTTATATTAATATAATAAATTGGTTTATATTTAAAATTACCATGATACAGTAAGCGAATTCTACCAATTATTAAAATGGTAAACAACGACATAGTCTCTTATACTTGTATTTCATACAGTTTCAGTATTTCAAAGAAATTTAAGCTTAGCATTCATACAATAAAAAATGGGCTAATCTTTGGAATATGGTAAAAGGTAGTTTGGGCTACATTTGGTAAGGTATAAAGGTTAGCTAGGACTTAGCAGTGTACATGGATAAAGTCAAGAGTTGCGAATGCCATTTTTGTGCATTCTGGGATTTTTTTAAGTGAAAATAGGTCGACGTGTACGTGGATACGTGTAGGTACAATTCTTAAAACGCGGCAAGCAGTTTGCGAGTCTGCTTTATCACCCAATTTCGCATCTAATCTTCGTCATGATTAAGCACTTCTGTTCTATAAAAGTTCTAGCATAAGCGTAATTCGGCTAGCAGATTGTTGGAAAAAAAATGTTGAGTAAAAAAAGATAGAAAAAAACATGCCTTTACTTTGTGAAAACAAAATGCGTCCAAACAAAAACTAGCAGGTTGCTGTAGCAGGGTTGGTCGCCAAAATTGTGCCAAAAAATCGCCAAGTTATAATAATCCAAAGATTAACCAAAAAATTATTTCTTCAAATTTAAATTCATGTTGTGGAACATTTTATCGTTTTGACGAATTACCTTATTGTTACATAACAACATAATACTTTTCTTACCAGTAAGCACACAATCTTTATTATTTTCTAAAAATTTTAAATTTTGCATTAATAAAAAAAGAAAAATATTTTTTATTGCATATGAACATCATACAAAGCTTTCATATCAGTTTCTTAAATTTCTAAATCACATATTCTCTGTAGGCATACTAAAATTTTGCATATTAATAAAAAAAAAAATCTAATTTCTCACAATGAAAGAAATTAAGATAGGAAAATAAATACTACAAATTCGGAACACTAAACAATGCTTCACACACATATGATCAAACACATAATATTTTATTGCACAAACTTGCATTGTGTAATTACAATAGGTAAAAGCTACTTATAGGGTCAAAGTTTACAGTTTTGTGGGTAGAGTAGACTTTAAGGTACCCCTTGTATTATGGCGAAATTGTTGTTTTATTTATCACCAAGTTGTTGTTTCATTTATGGTAGCCTGAGTAGTTGAATGTTATGGAAACCCTATTGTGACGTAATCGGGTGCATGATTCTGGGAAATTTTGAATCATGCGATGTTTTGTAAGCGTTTTTATGGTGTGTGTTGGTTTGATTCTTTAGATGGTAGAATGGCTGGCTAATCTTTGGAATATGGTAACAGGTAGTTTGGCGACATTTTGGTAAGGCGATAAAGGTTACTAGCTAGGACTTTAGCAGTGTACATGGATAAAGTCAAGAGTGTGCGCAATGCTGTTTTTGTGCAATTCTGGGATGTTTTTTTAACTGAAAATAGGTTGACGTGTACATGATACCGTGTATGTGCAATTCTTAAAAACGCGGCAAGCAGTTTGCTATTCTGCATTTTCCCCAATTTCGCACCTAATCTTCGTCATGATTAAGCACTTTTGTTCCATAAAAGCTCTAGCATAAGTGTAATTCGGCTAGCAGATTGTTGGAAAAAATGTTGAGTAATAAAAAAAAAACATGCTTTTACTTCGTGAAAACAAAATGGTGTCCAAACAAAAACTAGCAAGCTACTGTAGTAGGGTTGGTCGCCAAATTTTCGCCAAAAATCACCAAGTTACCATAATCTAAAGATTAACCGAATGTAGGTAAGATTAATTTGAAGTTTCTGTACGATTTGGAGCGAAAGGGGAAAAGAGCTTGTGTGTAAATGAAGGTTTACTTAGTAGCCATTCTAAGTGTTCTGTATGTAGGATGGATATGCGTTTAGTCGAACGTAAAAACCGTTTAGATGGATTTGAATGGGTCTGTAGGAAGAAAGGTTCAGATGGTCACTATGCGAAGCATTCCATCAGAAAGAGTACCTGGTTTGAAAAAAAGTCATTTGAGTATGATTGATATTTTGATTTTTACGTGGCTCTGGGTGTACGAAGTGAACTCTAAAATCATAGTAAGTGAATATTTGCTTTTGGTAGTGCTTAAATGTATAATATGTTTTTCCTTTTTTATGTTATTTTATTGTTTGTTTTAAAATGTATTTTATTGAGATTATGTATTTTTTGTTTGCCTATATTGCAGAATTTGGTGCTCCTTTGACTTTGTAAGTGAAAATATATCCATCTGTACATGGACAAAGTAAAGAGAGTGCGCAATGCAAGTTTGTGCAATTCTGGGATTTTTTTTAAGTGAAAATAGGTCGATGTGTACATGGATAAAGTTAAAAGAGTAGGCAATGCCATTGTGCAATTCGAGGATTTTTTTTTTTCAAGTGAAAATAAGTTGATGTGTACATGGATACCGAGTTTGAGCAATTGTTTGTCTTGTTAATTTGGCTTTGTGTAGCGGCAATTTTTGGCACAAAAATTGTGGCTTCGCAAGCCAAAATAACGAGTCAAAGAACTGCACAAAATCGATATCCATGTACCGCCAAAAATCGCCAAGGGGTACCCTAAACTATACTTTTACCCATCTTTGATATGATTTAAATCAAACTCCTCGTCATTATAAATATCACGAATACAAATCAAATAGTTTTCTGGTTGCAATTTTCTAATTTCGACTATGCGTAATGTATGCTTTACGCATGCGCGTGTTGAAAGAAATGTTTAATAAAGTAAACAAATAAATATTAAGCTTTTTTATTTTGTAAATTTTGATACCCTTTAGATCATAATTGCTCTTTATTTCATAAATTACGCTTTCATATTTTTAATTTTATATTTTCTGCATACCATCTTACCAGATTAAAAAAATCGATAATCCGAAATCGCCAAAGTCCCGACGAGTCCAGATTAAAGACTTTTGACTGTATATGTACACATAAAATAACTACATAAATTGCAACAGAAAATTTAAAAAAAAAAAAAGTTTTATGATTATTAATCAGCATGAAATTGTTAAAAATCCCTACGGAATTCAAAACGTGTTAAAACAGTTGAAATTCAATAAAATTTAAATTAGTTAAAATATGGAAACTATTTGCATGTAGGATTATTGTACTGATATGGTTTCTGTAAAATGCTATACAGCATAATGTAGAACAAAATGCTTATATAATATTAATAATAACCAGTTAAAGTATGTAGACCTTGGTTAAAACATGAAATTTATTTGGCACATGCTGCAAAACAGATAGTATTAGTCTTCAAATTCTTCTATCCAGCAATCTTTGTCATAAAAATCACTATTTAAACAGCCAAATCACCCATTACCATATTCCAAAGATCAGCTGTAATTACGAGTCAAATCTTTTGAAGACACCGTGAATATCTGTGTATATAAATACTTCGATGAAATTAACTGACCATGAGCAAGAACAGTATTTTATCAGGATACTCAATATGCATTTATGGCTTCATATTCATCAGATTTAATTGTACATAACTTTCTCCCTCTCAAAAGGATAGTTTTAAATGATTAAGATATACCACACAGTTAATAGTATTTGAAAACATGAACAATAATCAAAATATTTTTCATATTTTAACAGGTAAAATACAGGATATTAATTACAGACAAATCAAAGAAATCTGAAAGTAAAATTTTTATATGATATAACATCGCTGCCATATTTTATGTATTTGTTATGGGGTTATCTTGTACTTTATTTGCATTTCCAGAACATTTACTAGACACCATATATTTCGGTGTATAATGTGCAGCTATAATTTCAAAGTACATATTTTAATTTTTAGGTATATTCACCATATAATGTACACCCTTTTTTATGAAGAAACATGAAAGATACATATGGGATGCCCTTCGTTTTGAAAATATTCATTTGAAGAGTTTTAACAGGCTTTCGAACAGTGTTCTACTAAACTGATAAGTGATAAAGGTAACAATAAAAAGAGCATTTGAAAAGTTTCCAGAAGTATGTTATGACCTACGAGAGCAAAAACTGTTTACTATCAAATATTGGAAATATCGACAAAACTCCACTAATATTTGATACGACTGGAAATAAAACAATTGACGAAAAGAACGAAAATGGCTCGAATAAAAAAACAACAGGTCATGAAAAGTCTCACCTCGCTGCAGTGTTTTGTTACATAGCAGACGGTATAAAATTAAAACCCGTGGTTGTTTTTAAAAGAAAGACTATGCCGAAATGTAATTCTTGAAATCGTGTTTTCATTTATGTTCAAGATAAAGGATAGAGGGATTGAAACGGTGTGAAACTGTAGATAGAAATCTTTGGCAAAAGTGTCTTTTTGCCTTTAAGAATCCAGAAATTCTTTTAGTTTGGGATGTGTTTAGAACTTATCTAAAGGATAATATGAAGAAATTATTGAAAGAATGTAATATGTAGACATGGCAATTATTACAGGCGAATTAATGCCATTAATTTAGCCTTTAGATGCATGTATCTATAAATCATTCAAACAAAATTTAAAAGACATCAGTATACTTGAATGTTGGTAGGCTAAAAAGTATTTAGGTACAACTCTGATATACGCCCTAATTTCACCAAATGTGGCGATATGTGTTCTGCGCTGGTTTTTGGCGCGATTGCGTGTTGTATGGCAACCCCGTTGAAGTTGAAAAGTCTTTCGCTGGAGTTCGTTGGTTCCCATCATGCTTTGTGTCTGAGAAGCTAGGGGGGAAAGATTTAATGGTGAAAGTTGTTGAATTGAAGTTCGGCATAAGGAAATATCGTCGTGGTCATCCTGTTGAGGGGCAATGGGTATTTGGAGGTGTGGAAAGAAGGTATGAGAGATTATTTTTAGTGGTTGTGCGTGATAGAAGTAGGGATTTGTGATTATTTGTTATTTTATTTATTTGTGAACCATAGTATGAATTTTCTGGATAGTGCGTCTGGCTGTCATATAAATACGATACTAGTGATTACGTGGTGGCATGTTAAAGGCAGTATGAAATTGGTATATCTGTTGTTCGAAAAAGCATTAATCGTAAGTGCATTTTATTTTGTTCTTGTTCTTATTTTGTAGAATGTAATGTTCATTGTTTTTTTAGCATGAATTTCTGTCGTTATTGTTGTTTTTTTTGAATTGTTTGAAATTTATTTTAGTTATTTTGTTGATTAGTGAGTACCGTCTGAATAGTGCAATTCGTAGATGTTTTTTAAAGTTGAAACAGAACGCTGTGTACATGGTATTCTTTGAATTTATTGTTGTTATGTTAATTTATTAAAGTGAGGTGCGCGTAGTTCGTAAATTCGTTTGTTGCCTATGTTGTGCAATTCGTAGATGTTTTTTTAAGTTGAAACAGGATGCTGTGTACATGGTATTCTTTGAAATTTATTGTTATGTTAATTTATTAAAGCGAGGTGTGCGTAGTTCGTAAATTCGTTCGTTGCATAGATTGTGCCATTCGTAGATGTTTTTTTAAAATAAAACATATCGCTGTGTACATGGACTCTTGTAAAATAATTTTGGTTAGAAACTTCACGGTTTTGCTATCAAAATTTTTTGCTTTTGTTTCGGATTTTTAGCTTAAATTGTGCATTCAAAACGTGGTTTTTGCATTCGCGAAAACTGTGTTTTTGGAGACATTTTAGGCTTAAAGTTCGAAATGTAGACAAAAAATTTAGATAGCAATATGGCAGCATGGAGTTTCTCGGCAAGAAATTTGGCGCCTTGAGGGTGCATATCAGAGTAGTTCCAGTATTTACAAATGGATCCCGTGGGTACATAATAAATGTATGGATTGAATTTAAACCTGACATAATACAAAAGTAATTTAAAAATGTAGTACAGTACAAAGTCCATAATCCGGACTCGTCGGGGCTTCGGCGATTCCAGATTAGGGGTTTTTCTGGATTATAGATCATCAATTTAAATCTGGTAAGATGGCATGCGGAAATTATAAAATTAAAGATATGAAACCGTAATTTATGAAATAAAGAACAATTGTGATCTAAAGGGTATCAAAATTTACAAAAAAAAAAAAGCTTAATATTTATTTGTTTACTTTATTAAACATTTCTTTCAATGTAAGTTGTTTAAGTTGCTTCATTTCATGTGCTAATACTTTCTCTTTAATTCTATAAACAGACATAATTGCTTGTTCAGTTACAAAGTTCCGCTGTTCAAGTTCTGTAATTGCTGTGCCTATAATTGTTGACTAACTTGTCAATCGAAATTTTTTCGTTTTCACTAGCCTGTCACTTTCTTCATGCCTTTATCCATTTTTGCAGCAATTCCACTTTTTGTTTGCTGGACAAGCCATGCTTTCGAGACATGAAAAACGCATTGAATTTATCAATCGGCCCAGTAGAACAGGAGACATACAAGTGGCCCCCCTTTTTTTGCGCAGTGTACTTTGTTAACTCCAGTGTACATTTTCCTTCTCTTGTTGAAGATGAATTTTCTTTTTGATGATCATCCATTACATGCATATGCCATAACGAATCTTTTAAGTTTCATGGTTATCTTATATTGCAAACCATTCTTCTAAATCCAAAGTTTTACATCATAATTTTTTGGGTGTTGTTTGATTTTTCATAGGATTATTTTCCAACTTCTTGCCATTTGGTTGGAAGTGATTCAGAATAAGTACATTTCCAATGGTTTCCTGCAACTTCCATTGTTGTTGAATGCTCTACATGAAGGATCTTCTATTTCAGATACTTTTACCATCTTTAAATAATGAATAAATAATTTTCTAACATAATCAGTGATTAATTTCCAGCACTTAGCAATGTTCACTTCAGGTATAAAACTGTTAATACATTTTACCAAAGAAGTAACAATTTCCAAATGAAGATGATAAATCCTGTGATGCATTTTCTTTTCAGACAAAAAAAAAAAAAAAAAAAAAAAAAAACTGTGACAAGAAACATAATATCTAAAAACAAAACATCTGAACTTTCAAGTGCCCAATTATTATGTGAGTTACTGATTAAAAACTTGTTTGAATAAATTATTTTATTATAAGAAATATATTGATGATATTCATTTTGCAATAAGCTAAGCTTAAAATAGATTTAAAAAAAAAACATATTGTTTTAAAAAATTTGTTTCAATATATTGAACAAGATCAATGCAAATAAATTTTTAAAATACCAGTGTCCAAAAACAAATGTGATCCATTGCACCCTCTGCCCCCCCCGAAAAAAACGAGTTTTAACACAAATACATCAAGGCAGCTTACATCAGTTTCCATAAATATATTAAAACTCTCTTGACATCGAACCACTTCTTATTACTAATTTGTTTGTTATTTGTCATTAACAATAAAATGTCGAACACTGCTAAAAGGTTTTTATAATGTTTACATTAAACTTAACTACTTATACAATAATCTAACAAATCACGACCATTTCTAAAATACAATAATTATCCCAGCACCTAAACCACCACTAATTTTAGTTCTGGAAACTGAATTTGTTTTAGGGGACACAAACAAGAAATATATTTTTGAAGCAATTCTACAAAAATGTAGTGAGGTAAGTATATATAATGGGCTGAGATGGTACTTCATCTTTTACAAGTGTGGGCACCATATTGTGAAATTCAAATATTAGCACAGAAAATACTTAGACACAAAGCTATACGTAAAAAATGACACAAGAAAATACAATTATTACCTAACTCCTTTAGAAGTATAAAAGAACATTCCAAATTTCCGTGTGCATAACAAAACACAAACTCACTATTGCCAAAGAAAGTCTATTTTCTATACACAATACATGTTCTTCTTCTTCTTGAAGCTTGGCTACCCTTTGGCGCCTTATGATCCTACTCAAATATAATGTTGTTTGCATGTTAAACGACAAGGACGCATTCTTTCCATTTAAGGGGGGGGGAACATCGGTCTGAAAAACAAACCCTTACACTAATAATACTTATGAATCCTTTAGGATGTATTTAATGACAAATTTGCCTAGGAAATAATATCTCCAAGGTTTCTTATTACAATGATTTAAAAGATCAACTAAGAGGTCAATACTGCTAATTTTCATCTTCTTGAGCATAATGTTTTTAGCACTATCGTACTTTATGTAGTGAATAATTGCATGTTCTGTACTGTCGATCATATAACATGAGTCACAAAATGGCGAATTCTTTCTACGATACCTATACAGTAGTTGGTTCGTGTTCAACAATTGCAATCTTATTTTACTAATTACTACTTCCATTTTCCTATCGATTAAGCCTTTACTCCTCTCACTAGCTGAATTAGCGGCCGGTATAAGAAGTCCGCCAGCAGTCGACTTGCTCTTCGATTCTCGATGAAACTACACGCATCGTCTGAAGAAAAATCCCCCGAGTTATTCATATTTCTTCTTTTCGAAACTTTCGTTGAACGAACGTTTCGTTTCGTTTCGTTGTTCGTCCGCTCTTTCGTTGAACGCTATACCCTTATGGCCAGGAACCCAGATGACAGTGAGGTGATGGAAAGCCTTTATTCGCTCGAAGAAGCTTAAGAATGAGAGAGTTGGGTCTCCTATGAACACTGCTCATGTCGCTAACTACTGACTTGCTATTCGTAAGGATAGCAACTTTTTCGTTAGGATTCAGTTTCTCAAGAAGCTTATAAAAGGCCCAAGCCTCAGCTGAGAAGATGGAGCTTCTGCTGTCTATGCACTGGCTGACTATCACCGCGGTACGATCTACCGCCGCAATACCAACTCCTGTATTAGACTTGAAAGCGTCTGTAGCGTAAATCTGAAATCCTTGATTCACATAATCATTAATAATGCAGAGGGAAAATTGCTGTATCTCCACATCTGAGAGATTTTTGTTCTGGAACTCATTTATTTTGAAACAACACTTTACTTCTTGAGAAAAATCTTGCTCATTGTTAAAAGTAATACACTTGCTAGATCAAGATTGCTTAGTTTGTCTTTAATGCACTGGCTAATGGGCTTACGTATCTTACCCCACCTGTACTTGAAACTTTGCAAACAGGCAATAGGAGAGGCTGCTGACAGAGCAATATTCTTTATTAAGAACTTCTCGGTTCTTTATAAGAACTTATTAATTCTTTATTAAGAACAGCGATGCATCTTCTCGTATCTAAGGTGAAAACAACTGCCTCAACATATAACAACGGAAGAGGGGTGAAAGGCGCCCCAATAGCCAATTTAAGGCGTGATTATAAACAATTTCAAGCTTTTTCTTATTTTGTTGAGAGGTAGACATGAGGAGACAGCTGCCATATTCTATTCTTCCTCTTATTGTAGCGTTTGCAATATTAATAAGATCCACTTTTCTGGCACTCCACCTGGGGCTCGCGATGAATTTAAATACATTCAGCATTCTTTCCAGCTTTGGTACAATTTTATTTACATGGACGTTCCAACTCAGTTCACTATCAAACTACATTCCTAAAATTTTAATGTGATCTTCCGTAGGGATGCTGACACCATCAAGCTTCAGAAGATTCTCTTCACTACTCTTTGTCCCACCGAAAATGATCGATTTACTTTTCTCTGGGAAAATGCATAAGTTCCACTCTTTAGCCCATCTATGCGCTTTAAACAGCGCACGCTGCAAGTTACTGACTACCCTGGAGAACGAGACATCTGCACTGTAGAGGAATATGTCGTTCGCATACGCGTAGCAGTCAACATCAGCCGGGATAATTTCATAGATATCGTGCATGAAAATTGTGAAGAAAATTGGAAACAAAATGCAGTCCTGGGGGACACCACTGGTAAGCTCATAGCTTCATGAAAGGACCCTTCTCCCCTTTACTCTGATTGTTCTCTGGTTCAAGAAACCAGCAATCCAGAGGATACTATTCCGTTTGACACCGAATTGCATGATTTTATAGAGCAGACCATAATGCCAAACTGAATCAAACACAGATTTGAGATCAAGGGCTACCAGCTGAACAATCTTTCTTTGCTTCTTATGGTGCAGGATGCTACTGAACAATTTATTAAGTAGGACCAGACAACTTCTATTCGGAATAGAGAGCCGTGATGCATATCTGAGAACCTTTGCTGAATCCTTGGAAGTAGTCTATTGAGAACCATCGTTTCCTTCACTTTGGCTAGAATTTGGGTTAAAGAAATTCTGTAACTGGAAACCAGCGCATTGTCGCCTCCAGGTTTTAAAAAAAGGAATAACAATAGCTTCTTTTCAATTCTCAGGGATCAGACCCGAATTCCATGAGTTATTGCAGGCCTCAAGGAGCGCTTGCTTGCAGTCATTAGCTAAAACTGTAATAGCATATCTTGCGAGGTCACCTTGCCCCGGAGCAGAGTTTCTGAGACTCCTGATAGCTTTATCGAGTTCTTTACCTGAGAAGGTATTATTAATACGGCTACTCTCTTCGCCACTAAAATCCAGGGGAATGAGTTTTTGAATAGTGAATCTTGAATAATACTTAGCAAACACTACGCTCTGCTCTTTCGCTGACCAGGTGTGGCCGTTCTGATACTTTAAGATGTTGTTCGAGAACTGAATCTGACTTTTTTTATTTTGAATATTTTTAACTATCTTAAATAAGTTGCCATCCTTTCTGGTATGACTATAAATTTTTTCCCAATACAGCCTTCTCTTGACTTTAATGACTCTCTTAAGGTAAGCGTTCCATTTCTTATAAAAGATCCAGTAACCTCTTGAAAGATGAGCTTTAGCGAGTCTAAGGCATTTCCTTTTCTGGCCTAGAATGAAGTTACATTCTGTGTCCCACCACGGATTGTTTTTGCGTTGAATCACAATTTTTGTGAGGTTGTCTTTTTCATGGCGCTCAAGATGAGGTTGATATTATCCAGGTTTCTTTCTCCTGGGTGCAAAGCCCTGATCCTGTTATTGTTTTATGTAGCGAACTTCTTCCAGTCAAAGTGAGCAATTATTCTTTGATTGCCAGCAGCTGAGGCGTTGTTATCACTTGTGAACCTAATTTTTATAGGGTAGTGGTCACTGGTAAAGGGATCAAGAGAAACTTCCCATTTCAATTGGTCATAGAGCTCGGCTGAATACAAAGCGATGCCAATGCAGGATTCGATTCCTCCGGGACTTACATGACTGGGCTTCCCAGTGTTTGAAATGCAAAGGTTGTTATTGTTACACCACTCCAATCGCGCTCTACCCCCTGCTCGACCCCCAAGCAGAGTTGTGACTGTTGAAGTTTCCTAAGATAATTGCTCCTATTTGCTCGAAGATCAACTCTCATAATTTCTCCTCCCGCTATATCATAACTAATATCTTGTACAGATAAGCTTGCCCATTCCTTTTTGATGGCAATCATCAGCCCCCGCCTTGGTAAGAGTTTAATCTATCTTTGCGAAAAATAACTTTGTCAGGCAAGCAAAAATCGTGTAAGTTAGAAAGCCAGGTCTCCTGGATAACTAAAACATCACACAAAATTTCTTTCCTGCTAATGATAAAATTTCTTTTGTTAAAGATGCTTCTTGCATTCCATGAACAAATCGTTGGCCCCATCGAACTAGATGAGAAACGGAAGCAAAGAAGAAAGCAGGGGGGAAAAACTCATGCTATGAATAAAATCACAGTTTCTAACCTTAACCAGATATTTTGGTTTTGACAAGTCATGCTTGCTTTGAATACAGACTTCCCGTGTTACAGACTCTGATTTAGAATGGGGCTTCTTGCCTGTGTGTCTCTCTTCATGAGTCATAAATTCAAAGATCGTTTCGTTTCAGGAATCAAGGTTGGGAGAGCATTAGAATTTCAAATCAAAATTTCAAGAGTTCACAGAACATAGAAATAACATTTATTAACGATAAACTTATATTACTTATATTACTTCCGCCTATAGCGGCCATGAAACATAATCAAGCATCAAATAAATATGACATGCGTCATTCTTCATGTTCAAGCGTCAAGTGGAATATTTTTCATCGTATGAGGATATTCCTGAATCCCGTCAATTTTTCAAAGAGATATTTCAAAGTTAGAGTTGCCTTATTCCGCCAACCGTTTTTTATTTCACTGTTGTTTAAGACATCGGTCACAAAGTATTCGAACACCGGTACCCTATCAGAAAATGACAAGATGGCGTTTTTTTTCTCTTTCTCTCTCTGTGTGTCGTGTTATTCCATCCTAGGTTTTCTTCTCCCCCCCCATCTTGGAAAAAACTGGAAAAAATTGGTTACGATCTCTTTTTGAATGGGGAGATGCCATTTTGAGAAAAAGCTGACGACCCTATCTTGGAGAATGAACATGACCGCTCTACACACCCTTTCTCTCTCTCTCTCTTGAATTGGGAAGCCATTTTGGGAAAAAGCAGACGACCCTATCTTGGAGAATGGAAATGAACGCCTCTCCCTCTCTCTTTGAAATGGGAAGCCATTTTGGGACCCTCTATTCTTGGGGAGGGAGAAAACTGAAGTCTGCATTTCGCTGTCTCTGAATGCGGAAAGCCCTTTTGGGAAAAGCGGACCCTCTTCTTCTGATCTTGGAGAACTGGAAATGAACGCTCTACACGATCTCTCTTTGAATTCAGAAGGTATTTTGGGACCTTCTAATGTTGGAAAACTGAAATGAACGCTCTACGCTTTTCTCTCTCTCTCTCTCTCTTTGAGATGAGTAGCCATTTTGGAGGATTCTCCACCACCATCCTAACCTTGGAAAACTGAAATGAACGCTCTACTTCTCTCTCTCTCTCTCTCTCTTCTCTGAAATGGGTAGTCATTTGAAAACTCCCTAACTTTGGAAAAAAACAGAAATGAACGCTCTACACCATCTCTCTTTGAAAATGGGGGGTGTCATTTTGAGACCTCCCTCCCCTAAACTTGGAAAACAAAAACTGAAATGAACGCT